AGATTGCCGTATGCTGGAAAATCGTTAATTGTTCCAAACAACATCGCCCTCAAGTTGAAACTTTCTTTCCTATAACCATCATAAACCTCCACACCGTTCTCCCACAAAATCTTCAAATCTTCGATTAATGGTTCCAAGTATACGTCTATGTCATTTCCTGGTTGTTTAGGCCCAAAAATTAACATAGACAACATCATGTACTTACGCTTCATACATAGCCATGGAGGTAGGTTATAAATCATAAGAATCACAGGCCATGTGCTATGCGAGATACTTTGAATACCGTGTGGGTTCATTCCATCAGCAGACAATGCCAAGCGAAGGTTTCTTGCTTCTTTTCCAAATTCAGGATAATCATTATCAATTTTCATCCACTGTGGAGAATCTGCCGGATGTCGAAATTTTCCATCAATAATTATTTCATCTGAATGCCAAGTCAATTGCCTTGAATCGGTTTCACTACGATACATCAGTCTAAATCTCGGGATTATAGGAAAATACCATAAGACTTTTGCCGGAGACAACTTTTTCTTATATCGAGGGGCACCGCATTTAGGACACTCATTTAACGATGCATACTCGTTTCGAAACAAAACGCAATATTTTGGACACGCATGTATCTTATCATAGCTCATGCCAATGGAGTACAACATCTTTTTGGCCTCATACGTTCGATTGGGAAGAACATTATCCTCTGGTAGCATATCTTTCATAAGGGCTAATAACTCTGTGAAACTTTTATCCGACCATCCATTGCCGGCTTTTAAGTTGTACAACTTTAACACCGCGGACAATCTTGTGAATTTTGTACAACCATTATACAACGGTTTCTCTGCATCGCTTACCAACCTCTCGAACATTTTGGGACAATCGTTAAGATCTTCTTCAAGCGCTTCTGCAATTTCTTCGACTCGATCATAATCGTATGTATTTGTGCAATCATCATTTGAAACATAGGTCCTTGCATACCCCGATTCAACATTCCCGTTACTTTTCTCACCATGCATATTCCAACATGTATAACTCCTATCAATTCCATACCGAATTAAATGCGATGCCAACTGAACTGCGTCAACCTGGTTCCCATAACAGCAATACAAACAGGGACATGTCATACGACTGGGGTGTTTGGCGTGCGCAACAGCAAACTTAACAAACTCGGAAACACCATTCTCGTAGTATTTCGACAATCGATTGGAATACATCCATGTCTTATCCATATCAACTAATTAGTGCACAAAACAGTAGTATACTGCGTTTCTGTCAAAATGCAAAGTATACACGGAATGAATCCGTATCAAGAAAATGCAACATACGAAAGACAATTTAAGACAAATTCATCACAATATATACCAGTAATTTGAGGAAGAAAGTTACCTCTCAGATTTTTCGAACTCTAAGAAACGCGGAGAATGAGCGTCGTACGTCGAACTAGGCCGGGAAACGCTGCAATTTCATAGAATGTTATTCAATATTTCGGATCGATTGTCGAAAGATATATATTATTTTAACATAAAGGTTCACAATAAATGTCACATATATATTTTCAATGTTTGGGAAAGCTATGACAATAATACAACACAAATATTAGAAATAGTGAATTCACAAAGTCAATATAAGGTTGATGCGATGAACTGATACTATTAAATAAATGCTTCACACGATTCACCATATTTTTAGTAACAAGTTCATATATCACATTGCATATGGAAATAGGATGAAATGGTTTAAGATACTCAGACTAGAAATGGGGCAGCATTGTTATCATAACACAAGTTAATCGGAAGTTGCTAACGGAAACAAGAAAATTAAGCATTAACATTCACGAAAGATTCAATTAAATGCGGATAAATGTCAAACGGAAAATTAAGGCGAAATATGTACATGGAACCAAGTCCGGACAACATATTTTATTCACAAAAACGCACATAAAATTAGTTCTGAAATCAATTGAAATGGTACTGGTGTTTGACAATTACCAAAACAAACTATTCTAAACGATTAGAAATAATTAATTGAACAATTTTCATGGTCTTCTAATACCGGACAACCTTATACCTCAATAAAGAGTGGCTTGAAAAACCTCAACAAAAACGGTGTAACTCAATCGCATTAATCCACAAACGTAACAAAATGCAAGAATAGGCATCAAACAATTTTAAAGTTCAATTGACAAGGTATTCAAGAGTTCCGGTATAATTCGACATCCAAAAGTTATCAACAAAATTTATCCGGATTCAACATCAAATTCACCAATTCACCAAGAAATCAAGACTTATGCATATTCAATAATTCAAATATATCATGAATTTTCAAGAACAAAGTTCAACACAATTCAAGAATCATATAATTGTTTAACAAGTCAACTTCAAGAATCACACCCCAATATTCAATTCAATGTCTTAATATATAAACTCACATGCTTTTATCCAAAGTCAGTGTTTTAAGCTTTTATACAAAATCGGTGTTTTAAGCAAACTCTAATGCTTTTACTTAAAATTTGTCTTTCTATAGTAAAATAGAGGAGCTAGTAACCAATCTGAACCGTCTAAATCTAATAATTAATTCTATGGTTAACTGGAACTAAACCTTGGTGGAAGCAACATTTACCATCCCTCCTTAAACATTACTCATAATCAATACTGGAAGAAAAGCTAGCCCAAAACTCCCAAGAACACAACAATGAATTTCATTGAACCAATTTAAGGTGAAACATAAATGTAGGTTAAGCTTGTTCAAGATGTAGGTTTTTGTTTAATATAAGATGAACAGATAATGGAACAGATAATGGAAGAAGATAATGGAAGAAGAAGAAACTTACCAAGATGGAGAAGACGGAACAAACGGCGGCGACGACTGAAGAAGACGGAACGAACGACGGCGACGACGAAGACGGCAGAAATGAAGAAGACGAAGAAATGAAGAAGACTGAACGAACGAATTTACCAAGTGAGGGCAAATATCAGATTTAGGGATTTTTAATTTAATTATAAAAACAACCTACGAAAGCGCTTTTAAAAGCGCTTTCGTATGCCCCCCATATGAGAGCGCTTCTGAGGTAAAAAGCGCTTTCGTATGCCCCCATATAAGAGCGCTTTAGAAAGCGCTTTCGTAGGTCCCCCTTTCAGAGCGCTTTTCAAAAGCGCTTTTATAGGGCCACCTATAAGAGCGCTTTTCAAAAGCGCTTTCGTAGGTTAGATATTTCAAATACCTATGAAAGCGCTTTCTGAAAAGCGCTTTCGTAGGAAACCCTATAAAAGCGCTTTTTTTAAGCGCTTTTTTTTAAAGGCTACGAAAGCGCTTTCTCTTAAAAGCGCTTTCGTAGATGCGCTGCCAAAAATTGTTTTTTTCGTAGTGTCCTTTACGTAATTGTCCATCAACGCTTTTTTGTAGTAGCTCATGATAAATAGACATGCGTTCTTCATTGCTTAAGACTCTTAATTTCTTTCTTTCTCTAGATTCTGCTTCAAAATTTTCTGCAACATACACTATAATTTTTTTTTTAAAAATAACAAAATTACTAGAAACAACCACATAAAAAATAAACACACATGAAATATCACTGTGAATTTAAGTATAGAAACCACCACATAAAAAACAAACACACATGAAATAAAAAATATACCAATGTCATTGTTTCCTTCAACCTCCTCTTGTAAATTATCTTCATAGGACTCATCAATGTCATTAGTTGCTTCAACCTCCTCTAAAGCCATATTTGATGAGATGTAAATATTTTGAACTTATAATATGAAACCATATTATATATACTACTCCTTTTATTATTGGTTCAACCTCATCATTGGTTTTAATTTTATGGTGGAAAACTTACGTTTTTATTAAAATGATTGGAGGGAATAAGTATTTTTACGGTGGGAAACTTAAGTTTTCCTTTAGCCATTCATTGAAACAATAAGCAATAAATATTTTTATAGTAAAAATAAATATTTAATAAAACAGCGGTACATATTCTTATAGCATGCAAGATTAATTCCAAAATTTTAGGAGTAGTTACGGAAGAGAGAGAGTTGTGTGCCCCAAAATATGAAATTAATTATTTGAATTAAATAATTTAATGAGTTTTATTTGGAAAGAGAATGAGGGTAGAATAGGAAAAAAATTATAGCAATTCATGTATCTTGGTTGAAGAGCTTTTGGCTAAAACGTCAATTAAAAAGGAACGGATGGAATATATGATTAAATGTTTGTATTGATTTTAAAATAGGTTTTGGTAGATGATTTTTATTTTATTTTTGCGGGATTTTGATTTGTTGATGGTGATTATAAAGATAAGAGCTCTAATAAAAATTCTAAAAAACTGATTTTGAGCTGTTTGAACCTTTTTCTTGTTTTTTATTTAATTTGTTATTCTGGAGTTGTGGTGTTTTCTTTGTGTTGAGTTTTATTTGCAAATAATTTGATAATCCTTTAATTAGGCATTTCTTATATTTTAGAATGATTTGTATTTTAATATTTTTATCTATTAGTACATTAATATATTGTTTTCAATTAAAAAACCACCACTAATTTTTTTTATAGAAAATCACAAACGAAAGTTGAGATATTTAATGAGGAAAAAAAATTCAAACATATAAGTATTTATTTTGAAAACTCCAATCAATATTATCTTAAAATAATTACTTTATAACCGTTGTGAGTCGTACTCACTTTTCAAAAGTCTAAAAAACGAAACTTCCAAGAAATTCTCGAAAGACTTTTTTCACATAAGACATAGCAAGTTCTCTCATGTTTCTTGGAAAATTCAACGAAGCATTTTACAAATTTCCTAAGAAAAACCTTTGTGGCTTCCCTTTTCATGTTCACACGCACATTTAAGCAAACCCAACACCTCACAATCTCTCATCACCACATACTCTCAAATTCACATACATTCTTCTACTACAACACTTTCAACATATCACAATTTCATTTTGCCGCATATTGCATATCCTACTTAACTTGAAGTATCAATAGTCTTTGCAGTTGCACGCGCAGATAATATGAGTTCATCACCACTATTGCCTTCTAACATGCATTATTCCAACAAAAAGTTTCATAGTATTTTATCATTTTTTTGTTCACTCAACATAGCAATAAGTTGTGGAACAACTCTCTATTGTGCATACAACCAAAATGACATACCTATGATAATCTTCGTAATTTTTGTCTACTCTAGTTCATTTTTATTGAACCATTGGTCAAATTTGTACCATAAGTTATCTCGGCCCGACCGAGTTTCTTCGAAGGGACGTAACATAAAAATCGGAACATGGATTTTGTTGAGTATTATCATGTTGGGATTTGCATGTGAGTTTTCAACTTTTATGAGTTTCTATGAATGTGTGTGTATTTGTGTGTTTATGATTTTAGGAAATGGTTTTATTTATTATTTGTGTTTTGTTTGGGAGGGTTGTAAGAGTTGTGGGAGTAAGAGTTTTTCAATTCATTATAGTTGGTGTACTGATAAGAATGCACAGTATAAGGATTTTGGATCATTTATAGGAGTTAAGGGTTTGGATTTTGTGTAAAAATGAGAATTAGTTTCTTCTCATAGACTTTGATTGAAGCAATCTGAAAAAGATTCTATTCTACTCTAGTAGTTAAGTAACATCAAACAAGTTCATGTATGTTGAGTAAGACCTGATTGGATAAACAAGTTAATTAAGCATTTATCATATAAGTGCTTATGCATAAGTTAGTTCTATAACAAAAGAATTTATATAAGGTAGAAGCTATTTTTTCATAAACTATTTTGAAAAATACATGTTAAAAGCTGCTTCAATAATGAACTCGATAAAATCAAGTGGAATATAAAAGATGAGATTGTAAAGCCAAACAATACCAGTCTAATCCAATCCCTTCAATTGCAGCAAAACTCCCTTTCTTGCAGAAGCATTGCCATCCTTAATATTGCTGAGAATTGTGGACAAATACTGCCGATGCAACCTTACTCATGGATGCGTTGCAGCCTCGGAAATATTATAAAAAAAAAGTTAAGTCTTAACCATGATAACAATTCCGGACCTTTATTTTAGACTCTATACACATGATATTATTGTTGAAAATCCACAAAAGTCTATGATCAATTTCTACCATAATGACAATTTAATTATGAGACAAATAAAGAAAGAAGACAAGACAAATAATTTCTGCAGAGTGTCTCTCTGCTCACAAACTGTAAAAACTTTCTTCAATTTGCAACTGAAAAATACTGTGAATGACTTGCTTGACTTGCTTTTAAAAAATAGGGGTTACTCCATCTATTTATAACTGAGTTTGCACTCTAAGTCCAAAGCCCAAAATATATATTTTGTTACTAAATCAAATCAAATTTATTCTAGACTTAAATCAAATCTATTTAAATCTAAATAAATCTAATATTTTCGACACTATGAATTACAATTTAACACACCACATAATTCATTGTGTCTAAACTATCTATATTCATCATGACTCTTAGCCTTCTGAATACTTCGACTTGCACTCCCTTCGTCATGATGTCTGTAATCTGATTCTCAGTTTTGCATTGATTCAAATTCATCTTCCCATCTGCTACCTGCTCTCGAAGATAATAGAACCTCATTTCGATGTGCTTACTTCGATCATGTGCTATTGGGTTCTTCGCCATATTGATAGCTGACATGTTGTCGATCTTCATGGTAATTGCTCCATGATCTTTCCCTGTTATCTATTCGACCAAGTTCACCATTCAAGTTGCTTGACATGCATAAAGAGAAGCAGCTATGTATTCTGCTTCGCATGACGATAATGCCACTACTGATTCCTTTCTTGAATTCCAAGCAACTGGTGCACCACCTAGCATAAACACATATCCTGTTGTTGAGTTTCGATCTTCAGCATCACTACACCAACTCGAATTAGTGTATCCCACTAATTTGCATTCTTTTCCTTTATCAGCTGCAGGAAAAAAAATATCATAATCGAAAGTTCCTTTGAGATACCTTAGTATCCTCTTCATTGCTTCTAGATGTGATACCTCTGGCTTCTGCATGAATCTACTTACCATACCTATACTATATGCTAAGTCAGGCCTTGTATAACAAATGTATCTCAGTGATCCAATAAGTCTTTTGTATTAGGTTGGATCAACATCATCTTCATCTGCATCTTTTGACAGTTGCAGTCTTGGTTCTGCGGGTTTCGAAGTTGAGTTACATTCTTCCATCTCAAACCTCTTGAAAATTTCTCATGAATATCTTCTTTGATGCATCATTAAACCTCTACTACTCTTGTAGAATTCGATACCAAGGAAACATGAAATCTCACCCAAATCAAACATTTCAAATTCCTTGTTGAGATCACCTTTGAAGTCTTCAATCTCACTTTTACAGCTACCTGTTATCAACAAATCATCTACATAGAGACATAGTATAAGAAATTTACGCTTGCTTCTTCTTACATATACTCCATGTTCAGTTATGCACTTCATAAATTCCTTCTCCCTTAGGAAACTATCAATTTTCTTATTCCAAGCTCTTGGAGCTTGTTTCAATCCATACAGGGCTTTTATGCAGACTGTACACCTTTCTTTCTTCGTCATGTTACACAAACCCAACTGGTTGTTTAACATAGACTTCTTCATCTAAGGGTCCATTTAGGAATACACACTTCACGTCTATCTGACATATGTGTCAACTGTTTATTTTTGCTAGACCAATAATTAACCTGATTGTTTCGATCCTAGCAACAGGTGCAAAAACTTCATCGAAGTCTAATCCTTCTTTCTGTAGAAATCCTTTCACCACAAGCCTTGTTTTGTGTCAAGTTACTTCCTCTTTCGAATTCATTTTCACTTTGTATACCCACTTGACATCAATTTCCTTCTTGCCTTGAGGTAATTCGACAAGTGACCAAGTGTTGTTATCTTTGATAGACTTCACTTCTTTGTTCATTACTTTCACCCACTTCGAATCCTTCAATACTTCAGTTGCATTAACAGGTTCGACATCTGTATAGAAATCATAATGTACCAGCTCACCTTCATCATCTATCACATCATCTGATGTAATCACACAATCTTGCAATCTTGCAGGCATGCGTCTTGTTCTTTGAGGTTTGCTTGTACTTGGTATATCTGCTGGTTCCTCTTATCGAACTTATCTTTCGACTTGAGTTTCTGGTTCTTCGAATAGGATTCCCACTCTTGACATTTTCAGTCCAATCTCATTCTTTAAACTTATATATAATCACGTCTCTGCTGATCACAGTCTGCTTTTTCACTAGATCAAACAACTTGTAGCCTCCTGTCGAATGATATCCAACTAGAATCATTTGACTTGACTTGTCATCAAGTTTTCTTCTCAACTGATCTGGCACATGTCTATGTGCAATAGATCCAAATACCTTCAGATGACTCAAACTAGGCTTCACACGAGACCAACATTCTTCTAGAGTAATTCCTTCTAGCTTCTTTGTAGGACATCTATTCAAAATATATGTTGCAGTCGAAACAACTTCACCCCAAAACTCTTTAAGTAAATTCTTGCCTTTCAACATACTTCTCACCATATTCATGATAGTTCGATTCTTTCTTTCTGCAATTCCATTTTGTTGTGGAGTATAGGGTGGCACCACCTCATGCACAATACCTTTCTTTTCACATAGCCTGTCGAAGTCTTTCGACACATATTCTCCACCACCATCAGTTCTCAAAACTTTGAGCTTTCGACCACTTTGTCTTTTGACCATAGACTTAAACTTGGCAAATACTTCAATCACTTCACTTTTCTTCTTGATCAGATAAGTCCACAACTTTCGATTGAAATCATCTATGAATGTAACAAAGTATTTGTTACCTCCCATCGAATTCACCTGGATTGATCGACATACATCAGAGTATATGACTTCAAGACTAGCCTTCGACCTGCTTCTTGCATCATTGCTGAAGCTATTCTTGTGTTGCTTCGCCTGCACACATTCCTCACATACCTCGTTTGGAATGTCGATTTCTGACAATCCTGAAACCATATTTCTTCTCTTCAAATCTCTGATGTCTCTGAAGTTGAGGTGACCTAGTCTATAATGCCATATTCATTCATCTCTGCTAGTTACAGTCGAAAGGCACTTGTGCTCCATCACATTTAGTTCAATCTTGAAAGTTCGATTCTGAGACATAGGAGCCTTCAAGATTAATCTCCCATTTGCATCTGTTGTACCCCAAAATTTTCCCTCCCATATTTCTCAATACATGTCAAGTGAGGTCCCCAAATTGCTCAAGGAAGTCCAAGAGTTGACCAGACAAACTCTCTCCTAAGACAGTCTACCTCAAATTAGGGTTTCATTGTTCATCAAGATGCTTGAATCCAAAGGATCCAAAATGCTCACCCTTGTCCTAATATGTTCTCAAGATCATCCATGTCAAGTTTCAAGCCTTGCAGAAGAAGTTTGCTCAGTCAATTGCTCAAAGGCCTGAAAATCGACCGTGCTAGGTCAAAAGTCAACTGTGGCCCACATACAGTCAAACTTCAAGATTTTTGGTCAACATCCTCATTTCGAAGTATTATTCATCATTTGATCAAGGGTTGATCCTGATTCCTCAAGGATTGTTCACAATTCATCAAAACCCAAAAGTTGCTAAATTAAGGTTTTGTAGGAAAAGTCAACTCAACTTTGACCAAGCATAGCTTTCTCATACTTCATCAGAAATGACCCATCCAAATCTCATTTTGAAGAGGATGAAATTCCCTACAATTCATCTTCATCTCCCAATTTCAAAATATGTACTCACAAAAAGATATTAATTTTAACATTATAAGTCCTTTTGAAAAGTCAACAAAAAACACCTTTTGAATCAAAGCTTCATACATGAACATGGAAGATTCAATTAAGATGAGACACAAATGTTTGCTTAGAGGATATCCTAAGATTTATAAAAAGTTTAAGAACACCTCTCTAGGGTCAAAATGGAGAGAGTTGTGCATTGGCCAAGTTGACCATTTTTGCAAAATTGCCAAAAGTCAAATGTGCTCAAATTTGCATTTTTTACTAAATGGGCCCAACTTTTTATGCTTGCACCTCAAATATACCATGGTCCACGACCCAATTGTCAATTCACATGTTATTTGCTTCATTATTTATTTTATTTTGATTTTTTATTTATTAAAAATTGAATTAAATCAAATAATCGGTAAATAATAACAAAGATTTGTTTTGTTTGGATTTGTGAACAGAATCACGAGCCCATAGTGCTGGCGTATCAGAATCAAATCATATCAATGGCAATTGGTACAAGAAAGACATGATT